GTTCTTTCCGTGCCCATCTCGTTCGTGCAGATCTCTGGTCGTCGTCGGCGGCGCCGGCCGTCAGGCCTTCACAATAAAGTCACGCCAGACGGCTGTTGCATCTCTCGGGGGGGGTTCTGGAAGTCACAAGGTGGCAACTGGGACGCGAGCGCACTCGCGATGCGAGAGGCTCCAGAATGTCCAGGTCACTTCCAAGTCGTCACTGGGCCGTCCCTGTGGTTGGACGCCTGTTAGAAGAGACGTCCTAAGGATGTCCGACGGCCACGCTGGCGTCGTCTTCCGGGATCTCCCAGGACAATGTGTGAGCAGTCTTGGCGGCCTCTTGGCCCCTCTTGGCACCTTCGGGGCTCGGGGGTCAGTTTGGGCTCCTCTGGGCCGTCGTGAGTGTTTTTTTTTGTTAGCGAACACTGATTCCACAGGCAGGCTGCAAGTCTGTGAAATTGGCACACGTTCCATTGGAGCATTTGCGGCACTCGCACTGGCGGCGACTCCGCCGACGCCCAGGTTCGAGCTCTCGAACGCAGTTGGCGAATGGCGATTGCATGTCAAAAACAGAAACATCTGACTTGAACCGCCCTGTCTCCCAGACGTCAGAGTAGAGCCTGAGAGGAATACAGCATTTTGCAGCATGCATCCTTCATTCGGTTGCCGAATCCTGAAGTCTATCGCATTCATCACGGAATCGCAGTGCAATTGGGCGGTTATTCCTATATTCCACGACGCAAGAAAAGACACGCAGCCGTCGCTGCGACGCACGGGTGGCAATGCTCACCAATTGACCACAAGGGAAGCCACTGGGAAGCGGCGGCGGCGGCCGTTCTGGGTTCCGTGTTTTTCTTAGGGTCGTCTTGGGGCAATGTTGGGCGGATCTTGAATCGTCATGGGGGCAGTCTTGAGCATCTACAGGGGCCCTTCTTGGGCATCGTGAAGCCCTGTTGGATCTTCGTGGGGCCCTGTTGGAGCTTTCTTCGCGGCCATTTCGGCTGCCTTGGGACGATCTTTTTGTTTGTCAGACAGTGCCTTGACCGGTTGCTACGGCTCCCACCCCTGCGGCCCACAAATCGGCCCCAGTGTGCGCGTCTGTGGCAAAACATAGGAACAATTACACGAACACGCAGAGGATGGACCCCCACATCCTTGGCGACAATCCACGTGGGGGCCGAGTCGGCCTCAGAGGCTGCCTGGTCTGTCGGGCTCCGCCCGCACTGCCTCTGCAAGCGACCCCCTGCCTTGGCGCGCTGCCGAGCGGGTGTCCGTGGAAGCCACCGCTTGCGGTGTTTCCCCTTCCCTCTCCTAGGGGAACGAAACATGACGCCAATATAAAAATAACACTCGTCGGTCCGCGCGGACTTCTCGGATCGGCGTTGGACCCCCGGCCCCGGCGCTCGGAGCGCGCCGTGGTCGGCGCCCTATCTTTAGGTCGGGCATGTCCCCCCGCAGGCGGATTTTTTACGAAAAAAATTCGAAAATGCTCTACAAATATTACCAGCCTGGACCAGATCCTCCTCACTATGCAGGACACCTCCAAATCAGGATGCCAATATTGCGGATTCCCTTATTTGTTGACGGCGAATCCCTAAGATTGTCATCGCCTTGTGGCGTGTCAATATTAGGGATAGAGATACGTTCGAGGCTGGTAAAAATACCCCACAATGGCATTAAACATAAGCCTGGCGAATGACCCAAACATACGCAGCTGCGACTACCGCGAGGGAAAGGACACGAAGGAGGGGGGGAAGCAAACTACAAGTGGCGCGAAGCATGGCCAGTGGAGTCGTAGGCACTGCGCCGCATCATGGACGAGGCGCAAGACAGCGCGGGCAGGAGGTGGTTGGAAAAGGAGGGGAGTTCACTGGGTCACTGGGGCGAGCCAACACGTCAGTATCATCATCGCGACGTGACACCTGTTACCGGGCACGCAGGAAAATGTTACTGAGCAGTTGCGTAAATGTCAGGGCAAGTCAGCAGCGGCAGAAACGAGACCGGGGGGGCGCGCGGTCAAGAAGCGAAAGGAAGCAAGAGGAGAGAGAGACGAAGGGTGGCATGTTTGCCGCGGGGCCGCTAGCGAGCCACACAGAGTGCACTGCGCAGGCGGCGCCGCGCGAAAGTGGCTGGGGAACCCCCGCCGACGCGGTCTGGTCATCCCGAAGGAGTCCCATCGACGCGCGGTGGCCCTCGCCTTCCTCTTCATTTGCGGGCCCCATAAAGGGGGGGGGGGGGGGGGGCTCCCGCCTGAGCCTTCCTAGCAAATCACTTAACCACGAATCTCCCGCCTGAGACTTCCCCACACTACGCCTCAGGAGCTCAAAAGCGACGACAGTTACAATATTCCGACGACCCGCTCAGATTAGTAACATGATCTGCGGGCCCAGGCCGCAGCCAGTGGGGCCAAGAACAGCTGTGCTGGGTGGGGGAGACGCATGTGGACACCGCTACTGGGGCCTTAGGTGGAGCCCTCTATGAGGCCACGCAACGCTGTGTTGGGTGGGGGGGGGCGCATGTGGGCACCTCCACTGCGACCTTCGGTGGAGCTCTCTATGGGACCACGAAGCGCTGTCCTGGGTGGGGGAGACGCATGTGGACACCGTCGCTGGGGCCTTCGGTGGAGCTCCCTATGGGGCCACGAAGCGCTGTCCTGGGCGTGGCAGACGCATGCGCCCCCCCCCCACCCCACTGGGGCCTTCGGAGGAGCTCGCTATGGGGCCACGAAGCGCTGTTCTGGGTAGGGGAACCGCATGCGCCCCCCCTCGTTGGGGCCTTCGGTGGAGCCCCCTATGGGGCCACGAAGCGCTGCCCTGGGTCGGGGAATGGGACCGTCGGTGGAGCTCCCCATGGGGCCACGGAGCGCTGCCCTGTGTGGGGGAATCGCATGCGCCCCCCCCCCCGCACTGTGACCTTCGGTGGGGCTCCCCACGGGGCCCAAGCGCTGCCCTGGGTGAGGGAACCGCATGCGCCCCCCCCCCCTCCCCCCAGTGGGGCCTTTGGTAGAGCTCCCTGTGGGGCCACGAAGCGCTGCCCTGGGTGGGGGAACCGCATGCGCCCACCCCCACTGGGGCTTTCGGTGGAGCTCCCCATGAGGCCACGAAGCGCTGCAGTGGGGGAACCGCATGCGCCCACCCCCACTGGGGCCTTCGGTGGAGCTCCCATGGGGCCACGAAGCGTTGCCCTGGGCGAGGGGACCGCATGCGCCCCCCCACCCCCACTGGGGCCTTCGGTGGAGCTCCCTGTGGGGCCACGAAACGCTGCCCTGGGTGGGGGAACCGCATGCGCCCACCCCCACTGGGGCCTTCGGTAGAGCTCCCCATGGAGCCACGAAGCGCCGCCCTGGGTGGGGGGACCGCACGCGCCCACTCCCATTGGGGCCTTCGGTGGAGCTCCCTGTAGGGCCACGAATCGCTGCCCTGGGTGGGGGAACCGCATGCGCCCACCCCCACTGGGGCCTTCGGTAGAGCTCCCTGTGGGGCCACGAAACGCTGCCCTGGGCGGGGGAACCGCATGCGCCCACCCCCCACTGGGACCTTCGGTGGAGCTCCCCATGAGGCCACGAAACGGTGTGCTGGGTGGGGGGCGCATGTGGACACCTCCACTGCGACCTTCGGTGGAGCTCTCTATGGGGCCACGAAGCGCTGTCCTGGGTGGGGGAGACGCATGCGAACACCCCTACTGGGACCTTCGGTGGAGCTCCCCATGGGGCCACGAAGCTTTGAAATGATGATGTTGATTAAGATGACGATGACGATGTCGACGACGACGGAGACGATGATGATGATGATGATGATGATGGTGATGTCGACGTGATGAAAACGATGGCGATGATGATGATGATGATGATGAAGATGAAGATGATGATGAAGATGAAGATGAAGATGATGATGATGATGATGATGATGATGATGATGATGATGATGAGGATGATGATGATGATGATGATGATGATGATGATGATGGTGATGGTGATGGTGATGGTGATGGTGATGATGATGGGAGGAGGGAGGAGGGAGGAGGGGGAGGAGGGCGGGAAGGAAGAAGTAGAGGAACGCGGGGCGCCGTCTCTTCAAAACGAGGACCCAACACCACAGGATGGTTGGGAATAAATCGTCCCCAAAATGCTTTTGGACTGCCAGGCACGGCCAGCGCCCTTCGCCCCAGCGGCCAACGCGGACCCCCCGCTCGCAGCAGGGTGCCGACCAGAACGAGCTGGAAACCGCGCCTGGCGAACTTCCGCGCGCCTTCCCACCCCTCCTCATTGAAGGGGCCCTTGGGACACAACAATGAAGACACACACACACACACACGAATAAAAAGATTCACCATATTTTCTCATATGTTCAGGGCTTCTATCCTTCCGATATTTTCCCATAGTTTCCTTGGAGTGGACATTTAATTGTGTCTGTGTGTTCCTTTGCCTCCTGACTAAGCCTCAGCTCGGGGGCGCGCAAACATGGATTGGCGATCCATGGATTCGGCGCGCGGTCGCCAAATCCATGGATCGGGGGCGGCGCCCTCCCCAAAGCACGGCCGGTGCCGCCTCGTTCGGCGGCGGAAATCCGCGACTTCCCGTGGAAACGGAACCCCGCCGCTAATCCAAGCCCCCGTAATCCATGCTTGCGATCGCCTGACTCGCCCCCCTCCGCATAAAGCTCAACCTCTCTGCAATTCAGTCACACTGGTAATCCTGCCCAGCGCTGGATGAGTGGAGCAGATCAAGGGCGAGCGGGAAACATGCGGGGCGAACACCCTCGGGAGCAGCAGCTGGGATGCTTGCGACAGCCCAGCAGCGAAGCGGCTGATCGAAGCATCTCCTCACAAGGGGCCCAAGGACACACAAATAAGTACACACAAATAAAATGATTCCCCATATTTCCCCATATTTTCTGGGTGTCTGCCTTCCCCTCCACTTCCCATAGTTTCCCATATTTTCTGTGGCATCGAGGAATATTTGTGTCTGTGTGTTTCTTTTCCTCCTGATCCTCCTCCTCCTCCTCCACCACCTCTACCCCTCCTCCTCTTCCGGCTCTTGATGGGAACCAGCTCCGAGTGGGCTCGCCTGGCGGCATCTGCCCTGCGCGGCAGCGGCTGAACAAGCCAAGCTGGACCGCCAGGACGTGGCAACACTCCGCGACGAGCCGAGGACAGCTGACCCGAGACGTCCCCTTCTAGAGGAGCGGGGGGCGTCGCCGAGACGACCCCGTATATCGCCACTGACAGGCCTGCCAATTGGCGGAGGCGTTACGGATCGGCTACCATCGAGATGGGGAGTAAGGGAGGAACAAGAAGCAGCGCGAACACAAAAAACTGGCATTGCGCGTCAAAACCCTACGTGCTGTCACGCTCGTTCCGGGCAGGCTGATCACCCTTTACAGGGGCTGATGGAATTGCAATCACGCCAGTGCAAGTCACCAAGGCACAGCAAGCGAACCGACATGCGGTCGGGGGTAGAAGAGAACGCGTCCATCAAGACATGAAGATCAAGCGAGGAGAGCAGGAATGAGAGAGAGAGAGACATAGAACGCTTGCTTGCGCGCCGCATTCAACGCATGTCATAGAAGCCAGCTCGGGAACAAGGTGTGCTAAGGATGGCTAAGATCCGATGACAACCTCTGTCATTATTACAGAGGTTGGTCCAACCAGCGGCTCGCCCAGCAGCCGAGCGCCCCACCCGCGGCGATGCGCAGAGTCTTAAAGCTGTAGAGGTTACACTGCAACCGCGGTGGCTCTGACAACCGAACAACTCCAAGAAGAGTCTGTACGGGGCGATGAGCCAACGCACGCGGTCGCAACACCCAACAGGCAGGAGCCTCCGTGCATCACCTGCGCTGTACCTTCGACACGGTGAGGTACGCAGACGTTGAAACTACTCGGGCCCGGCCAGCCTCAGGAAACAACGTGCCCGTCGGCCACGGGATGACTGCGCGGCCGACGGAGCTGGCAAGCGAAAGCTCCCACTCGTCGGAGACCCCACTGGCCGGATTCGAAGAAGAAAAAACAACATAAACAGAAACTTTTGGCGCCCCGCGCGGATTTCTTGGATTCGCGCTGGACCCCTCTCCCTGGCGCGGCCAGGGGCGGCGCCGGAGGTGCCGCCAGGGGGGCCCGGGCGCCGGGAGAGGGGAGAGAAAACAAGAAACAAAAGCAGCAAAAAACTGCTCGCGCTGCGCTCGCTGCGCTGCAGACCCACCGGGTGCCGCTCGGAGGCCTCATGACCCCCGCAGCCCGGCGCTCCTCGCAGAGCATTGCCGCCCTGGGGGACATCAAAAGGCACCGATACCGCTACTCCCTCTTGGACCTCTCCTGGGGTGCGTCCTGGCCAGAATCCCGAGGCGAATCCGGCGGCGGCGACGAGGGCCTCCCGGGAGGCCCAACATAATCGGAAAAAACGGGCGAAGGGTAGAGGATTCTGGGTAGGGAACCTCTTCCTCCTCGGAGCCTTGCTCCCGCGGTGGCGGGCCGGCCTGCCGCCGGGCCCCAGGCTCGCCGCGCGCTCCCCGGGCTCTCCGCCCGGCCCCGGGAGCAGCCGCGCCCCCGCGGCTCGAAGGCGCCCCCGTGCTGCGCTCGCTCTCGGTGCGCCACGGCGCGTCCTAGGGGCTCGAGCAGGGGGTCGAGTGCAGAACTGAGTTGCCCAGGCTTGATTCTTCTCGTCGAGTCCACGGGCAATTCGTGGAGCTTTCGCAGACCTACGAATGGTCGGCGTATTTTTGTGGAAGAGACGAGGTGGAAATCAACTTCGGGGTAAATCGATTCTGGAGTCGATCCCCCAGTCGCGGGGCGTCCCCTGTCGTAGACAAGCGCGTTCCACGACTCGCAGAGTGGCTGCTCGCAAGCGGCCCGGGTCCGCCGAGGGGGGCTCACGAGCCATTACGCACAGAGGCGGACACGTGAAATCTTTGTTCTGGCGTCTGCGAGTCGGCACTCTGCGAGCAGTGGAGCGCGCTCGGTGAGCTGCGCAGAGCAGCGGCAATCTTAGGTCGGGCATGTCCCCCTACAGGCGGATTTCGGGCGAAAGATGAAACATATCAAACAATACTCTGAATCTGCTCCAGAACAGTCGAGCAAAAATCGCCCCCAGACTATCTTTGGACTATTTTTGCACAGTCCCCGTGTAGAGGGACAGGCCCGATCTGATGGCAATCCGCAAACGCAGACCATTCAGGGATCTGCTGACCCGGGTCAGTCCAGACCTGGGTCAGGAAGAAACCAAACAACTGCAATGCAGGACAAAAAAAAACTGCAACGCAAGCCTTCGCAAACCCGGGTCAGCCAATATGTGCGGCCGCCCTCGCGGCTCGCTCACCCGGGTCAGCCAAAGGGTAGTCTTCGCAGGATCCTGCAGGATCCGGTGCCCTGGCTGACCCCCGATTGCGTTGACCCCCGTCTCAAGGCTCCCGAACCATCACGATCTCCACGTCGCCGGCGGCGTGCCATCCGACGCGCATCCCGGCGGGTGGCCGCTGCCCGCCGCCGGCCGGGCCTGCCGCGGGGCCGGGCCTGCCGCAGGGCCGGGCCTCGTGCAAGACTGGGCGCGGAGTGCCCACCGGCAGAAGCTCTTTTACCAGCCTCGAACGTACCCCTAACCCTAAGATTGACACGCCAAAAGGCGATGACAATCTTAGGGATTCGCCCTCAAAAAATGAGGGAATCCCCAAGATTGGCGTCGTGATGAGGAGATGCCCAGCATAGGGATAGGGATATGTTCCAGGCTGGTAATTCTTGGGTACGCTCTGCGCTCGAGCCACAAACAATCTGGAGCCCAAATGGCAGACAGCTTGGGGCGACTGTGGGCACCTCTTGGGCCGTCTCGGCTGCCCCGAGGACTGACGAAGCGAACGTACTGCAACCGTTGGCAAGAACTAAGCACAAATTGGGCGTCAGCTCTTCGGAAGGTCTTGGGCGTACTCTTGGAAGGTGAATAGGGGTGTCCTTGGGAAGCGCCTGGGGGCGATGTTGATTGGCGGTCTCCTGGCGCCGTTCGGATGTGAAGATTATGTCCTGGACGCTCCTGACGCGGGAGAGGCCCCCCCAAAGCTACGAACGAAGGTTCCTGGAACCCAGGGATTTGGGAGAAGTGGGAAAGTGGCAGGGAATGCGGGTATATACGCATGCAGTCAAGCTACTACCATGGGGAACGCTACGTGATGACCAAAACTCCTCGTTCACCCTAAAAGTGCCTGGGTGCAAGCGAGAACTCGCAGGGGGAACCATCATGGAGGGACCCGAGGAGGAACAGGCCCTCGCCGCACCCGAGAGTTCCCTTGTTGCTGCGTCTTGACAGTTTCCCAGAAGCCACATGAACATATACACATACATGCTTACATACACATATGTATATACGTATATACCCATGTATATCTATGTATGTTTATATACGGATATATGTGTGCATCGATCTATGTAGTCGGAGGTTCACGTGGGTTTCTTTGGTCGGCGTTCGACCGCTCCCCCCAGGCGCGGAGAGGGCGCCAGGGGCGGTGCCAGAGGCGCGGCGCCAGAGGCGCCTCCAGGCAGCGCCCAGCGCCGACCCAGAAGCTGCGAGCGTACCTCCGAAAGTTTCAGTGCACGCTGTTTCAGAACCTGCGGCCGCATCGTCCCTTCGCTGCAGTGCCGCCGCGCTGGGCGGGAGACGGCAGGCGGGCGCAAGGACGGCAGGCGGAACGCGGGAGGGGCATTCGCCTTCTCCCTGCCGTTCCCAATTGTGGCGAAACCGACAACTCCCATTACTGCCACGCCACGGGCGCCTCCCGGGGCGAGCTCTGACGAGGATCGCGGGCCGAACCCAGCCGTGGCGACGAGGGCCTCCCACCAGCACGGGGGGAAGCAGGTTCCGGGGGAAACGGATCCTGGACCCTGAGGAGGAGGAGGAGGAGGAGGAGGAGGAGGAGGAGGAGGAGGAGGAGGATCCTGGAGCCTTCCCCCTCGGACGAGCTCCTCCTCCTGAGCTGTTGTCTCTGATCGTCCCGGGTCCCGTGGAGCGCCCCGGGGAGCCAAAAACGTCGGAGAGCCTCAGGGCACGTTTCCCCCATGGCGCCTCTCAGGAGACCCCACCGGGCGAACGAACACGAAGGCAATGCAGCGAGTGGCGGTATCCGTCCGTACCTCCTCCTCCTCCGACCCCGGCCGGCGCGCAGAGCTGTCCTCGAACGAGGCGCGTCTCCATCACGTCGATCTCCGAGTGGCCGTCGTCGAAGGCGGCCTGGTACCCGACGAAGAGGAGCCAGACCCCGAGCACGTACGGCAGGACGTTCCAGTGCGTCAGGGTCGCCGCGAGGCCCATGTAGAACACGACCTGCGGGCGGCGGCGGGCGCGAGACGAGCCTCCTCCTCCTCGCGCGGGGGCGGCGCCCAAGGGCTCGCCTCGTCGGCAGGCCTCTCCGTGGCCACCTCGCCCGACATCGGACACTCCTGATCAAAAAGAAGGTCGCCTGCGGACGGCGGCGGGCTCGAGACGAGCCTTCTCCTCTTCTTCTCCTCCTCTAACTTCTACTCCTCCTCCTCCTCCTCCTCCACCACCTTCTCCTCCTCATCCTCCACCTTACTTTTGACGTTGCGCGAGCATGGATCGGAGATCGTTGTCCTCCTCCTCCTCCTCCTCCTCCTCCTCCTCCTGCTCATCCTCCTGCTCCTCCTCGATCCTCCTCGATCCTCCTCGTCTTCCACCTCTTCCTGCTCCTCCTCCTTCCTCCATCCTCATTTCTCTTCCTGCTCCTGGTCCTGCTCCTGCTCCTCCTCGCCCTCCTGTTTCCCAAGCCAGGAGGGCGAATGCAAAGGACGAGGGCGGGAGCGGCCTCGCCAGGCGAGGGCGAGAGCCTTCTAGAAGGGCGGCGGGGGACCCCGAGCACGAAGACGGAGGAACATAAACACGAGATCGGCGGCGGCGGCGGCGGCGACGAGCGAAGAAGGAGGAGGAGGAGGATGAGGGAGAGGAGGAAGGGGTGGAGGAGGAGAAATGAGTGTGGAGGGGGAGGCGGATAAGGAGGAGGATAAAGGAGGACGATGATGAGGAGGAGGAAGAGGAGGGGGAGGAAGCTTGGGACTCCTGAGGACGACGCCAGGGCGAGGACTCATTCGGGTGAGGATGCAGTGCGGGCCCGACCACAAAACCCCATCCAAAAGGCACCCAGCCCTGAGACCCCAGGACGTCCCTTGATGTTTGGCGTGGGGGAGTCACCCTTCCAAACCCAACACCATCGAAACCCAAGACACACAGGGCACCCTGGAGGGAAGCAGAGGGCGCCTTGGCATGGGCCTCCACTGTACGTCGAGACTCTCGGAGACCCATCGGGCTTCTGGAGGCTGCCTCGTGGGCGTCGGCCTTCCCAGCGCGTCGGGGGAGAGCTCTGGGAGCGCTCCGGACCGCCCGGGAGCGGACCACTCCTCGCCCTGGCCCCGCCGGACGGCGGGAGCCTGGGACGTCTGCGAGCTCTTCGGGGGAGCGGCGACAGGCTGGCAAGCCGGACCAGGAAGCCAGTGCGCCAACTCCGCCCCCCTTTTGAGGGAGCCCAAGAGTAAGGCCGACTGAGCCGGACCAGGCGACACGACTCCGGGAGGCGCGGTACCCGCCAGATGTCAGGGGATGTGTGGGACCCCCGAGCAGGAGTCCCACTTTGGTGGATGGAAGGAGTTCTGGGAATTCCCCTTTTTCCCAAATCCTCAATCTTTGAGGATTGGAAGCGGGAAAACGTGGGAAGGCGAAAAACATTGGGAAAAAGCACGGGGAATTAACGGTTTCGCCCTCTTTGGGCTCTCCGCCTAAGGATGGAAATGCCAGCACCGATGCGGAGATGGAGCCCACAGGAGGTGCCTCCCGCGGGGACGGAGCGAGGTAGGAGGGCCGGAGGAGGCGTGCGGGGCAGACCTCGTGGGCGGGTGTGAGATACCTGGGAATCTGGTGAGGGGGACCCAGACGTCCGACTCCGTGCCTCTCTCGGTAGTGCGGCCACGGTCAGAAGGAGAGTCGATCGTGGAGAGCACAGGGGTTATGTCAGAGAGGCAGAGGGAGATAACGATGGACAAGGTGCACATGCATCTCCATTTTGAGTGTCTACACATGTCCATGGATAGAGAGGGAGACAGATAGCCACGATACGTGAATTCATACTTATACATACATACATATATATATATCTATGTATATAAGAAGAACTGTCTAAGCAATCTGACATGGTGGACAGGACCAGCAGAGCAGCAAGGCCATCACAGAGACATCGAGACGATTTACATACATGTAGTGGCACACATATGTTTGTGCATATATCTGATATGCATAATTGTATATCTAGTATAGGTGTGTGCACACATGGGTTTGATAGAGATGGGCAGCACATACGTCGTGAGAGAGAGAGAGAGCGATAGAAAGCAGAGGGAGAGAGAGAGAGAGGGGGAGAGACAGAGGAGAGAAGCGAGTAGAGATGGCAGCAGAGGGAGAGAGACAGAGAGGAGGAGAGACAGAGGAGAATAGCGAGTAGAGATGGCAGCAGAGTGACACGCAACACTGCGGAGGGCAGGCGTGGAGGAGTTCCTGACATGCCACAGCATCCGACGCGCGTGTGTTTTTATTCAGTGGGCGTAGGGTAGAATCGTTGATGCTTCAAGCGTAAAGAGGCACACGTCCCAGAGAAGTCTCGTGCGACGCGCCTGGAACTCCATGCCTGCACGCGTGGTCTTGCGACGTGGCGTGGAAGGAAGGCAGAGGGGGAAGGACACCGTGCTTCGGGGGCGTCCACGAAGAGCGGTTAGCAAATCGTGGCCCGAGGCCCGTGCGCGGACGAGGGGGGGGGGGGGGGGCCCCCCGGGGGCGCTCTGAAAGGAAGCAGACGAGGCCATGACATCGGAAGAAACCTACAGCCTGACCTAGGACAAACGACCATCCCCCAAAAAACATGAGACCCTCCGCCGGCCAAACCGCAGCACGTTCGAGGGCCCCCTGCCCAAGGATGCACAAGAGCATCCAACAAGCGCGAAGAACACTAAGGTACTCTCCCCGAAGTGACCTCGATCTTACACCTCGGTCCGACCGTAGTGGCTCAGGCCCTGATCTCCTCCCCCCCCCCTGGTCACCGACCCCCTCTGGGTGGACGGGTTCCCCCGGGGCCGTAGGCGACCCGAGGAGGGGGAGGGCAGGGCGAGGAGAGGGAGGAGGGGGAGGAGGAGGAGGAGGAGGAGGAGGAGGAGGAGGAGGAGGAGGAGGAGGAGGAGGAGGAGAAGGAGGAGGAGTGGGAGGAGGTGGAGGAGAAGGAGGAGGAGGGGTCGCCTAAGCCCCTCGGGGAAACCCTCCACCTCTGGGACGAGCGTTGGGAGGGAGCGGGGGGCGAGGAGCTGCTCGGCCCGGCTGCTCCGTCCCCATCAGAAGGCAACTCCTGGGAGGCCTTCGAAGGGAACGATGCAGGGCTGCTGAGCCCAACCGAGGAGCCATCGAAGCCAGGTAATCCCAGGTCCAGCCCAGGGTAGGTTGGATTGGAAGAGGCTGGGCGACATGTGCCGAGGTCGTGTCGGATGGGCTGTGATTTCGACCAAGGATCATCCGGAGCCGACGCTGAACTTACCCTCCCAGGAGTTGCATCCAAGCGTTTGGTCTGACTGCCGCCGCCTGGAACGCAACCTGGAATCCCACGACAACAAATAGCGCGTTGTCCAGCGCCTTGTGCGACAGCTTGAAGGCACTGATCACGCAGTGGAACCTTGGTTCGGCCGAGAGACTGCAAGAAACGATGTCTTCGAAGGCCGCACCTCACCCTCATTTGTATTCCTCCTCCTCCTCCTCTGCCTTTTCGTCTTCGAAAGACACGGCGCACGATTCGGAGGAAGAAGGTCGCCATCCCTCCCGCCTGCCATGGGTCCCTTCCGTACGAGACCCAGACATCCGGCGGCTTG